CATTGTAACGAATACGTTTACGGTAGAACGAGCATAGGTTAGTAACGTATTTTGCTTTCTCTCTTTCTCTCTCTCTCTACGCACACACGTAGTACACACGTATATAATATAATCTATAATACATAAATGCACGCATACAGTGGGGTCTCGAACGATTTTTGTAACGTACTTTATTAATGAGCCGAGCGGCAGTCAGCTGTAGAGAGACCCATATGGGATTTTCGTGCCACCCCCGTATAGGTTAACATAACCTCTCTACCTTCCCCATTTTCTCAAAGTCTACCTTACCAGTACTCTGTCTTTTCTACACCTTTTGTTCTTGAAATGATGTGCGTGTACAGCCGTCTGCATTGTATACACAAACACACACACACACACACATATATATATCTATATGTATGTTGTAACTCCGTATGGGGGTATCAGCTGTGTTCACAATCGTGACGCAGAGCTAGGGGGTGAGCATAGGCACCGATCCCCACAGAAGAGACTCGTCATCATCGTCGGCATTTTAAATCAGTATCGTCGACGATGCACTCGGCACCCTTCCCTTTTTCTCTTCCCTTCCCCAACCCCCTTCTTTGTGTCTTTCTATATATATATATATATATAAACGACCCGCATATGCTCACTCGAGCCGTCCGATTTCGAATTTGCTACGATGAATCAGATTTACCGGTTGCCAATGATCACGATTATTATTGTTATCATTATCATTATCATTATCGTTATCGTCGTACGACTGGTCGCACTCGGCTGAATCGATAATCGATTCGAGATTAAAAACTTAGAGGTTATGTTTCGCGATTTTCATCGGTAAACCTATTATAAAGCATTTTAGATTTTATTGCGTTTAATTGATTGAAAATTAATATGTGATTATTAAATGTCGTTGATTTCGTTTTGTTGTATTTGAAAAAAGAAAAAAAAAAAAAAAAAAAAAAAGAAAAAAGAAAGAGAGATCAGATCAGATAAGAGAATAAAAACGAAAATTAAGATATTCTAAAGATAATTTTAGGTTAGAAATTTTTATATTAATTTTGAATATATCTGTTATCTTTGAGATATAACGAGTTAACGTAATCATTTATAGACGATGAACGATATTAAATAATATGACTGACTGTCGTTGGAAAGTTTTGTTAACGATCGTTCGACATTTATCGAATCAGACCGTCAATGCTGCGTCGAAGTCCTTCGCGTCACGTGACCTTAGAGCCATTTCAAATTTCAATCATATATAATTTAAAAAAAATAAATTAAAATATATTCACACTGTCTGTCGTTTCCCAGTCTGTCCGATAAGTTATTAAAATTCGTAGAATTGACTTTTTTTTTTTTTTTTTTTTTTTTTTTTTTTTTTTTTTTTTTTTTTATCAAATTATTATTCAATATTCAAGGTTTTCAAAATATCCGTGTAAAAATTTTGTAAATAATTCGAAAACATATCAATCTTCTTCATTCCCTCGTCGTCCTTTTTTCTTCTTTATCTTTTTTTTTTCTTTTTTTTTCTTTTTTTTTTTTTTGAAATATATGTATATATATATATATATATATATAAAAAAAAAAAATCGTGTCTTGTAAGGAAATCGAGGGACTTCACAATAACGTAATTCGAGCGTGTATCCTGTTTACATGACGTCCGGTGAAACATACTACATATGTATAATCTATATAATGAACGTGGAAGAGAGGAAGAAAAATATTGCGGTGGTGATGAGGTTGGTTGGTGGGGCAAAGGGAAGGAAGGAAATGAAGACTAGTAATAGAAGTTCGATAGCCTTTCTCGAATCGATTTATCTCGGGGAAGAACATTGCGAGTTCTTTTCTCCTTCCTCTTCTTCATCTTCTTCCTATTTTCTTCTCTTTCTTTTTCTTCCTTTCATTTTTTTTCTCGTTTTTTCTTTTCTTTCTTTCTTTTTTTTTATTTTCTTTTTCTTTTTTTTTTTCTTTTTTTTTCTTTTTTTTTTTTTTTTTTTCTTGGAATCATGTTCGTCCAATTGCGGTAAAGAGTTGCGGTAATTTCTTGATAACTTGATAAGCATTTTCCTTTCAATATTACTCTTTAATGTTATTTAAAAATGCAACGCGGTGCAATTAAGATGCAAGAATAATATTACGTTTGATTGTTTTTTTTTTTTTTTTTTTTTTTACTGTGAAAAAATTAATAAGAAACATTAGGAAAAGGTCTTTGTTAGATTGAAATTATTTTTTTGTAGAGATCTCATACGTATATATATATATATTAATAATAATAAATAAATTAATATTTGTAGTATATAGTACAATTAACTATACTATATTTTATATTCTCGTTACTATACATCTTAATATAAGGTATAATATAATATATAGAAATTATCAATATTATATCAATACAGAGTATAACTTATATCGTTTAGTATAATATACAAGCTAATATACTAATTGTATTATACTAACAATAATAATAGCTTTATTATAAATTATAATGAATTGTATTTTATATAAAAAAAAAAAAAAAAAAAAAAAAAAACATTTCGTATCATTCTTCATATCGTAATATATCGTATAATTAAAATAATTATATATATATACATATATATCACACTTACACACGTACACGAAGAGAGGAAAAACACATAATGTAGTGTCAGATTTTTTATATATATATATATATATATATATATATATATATAAAAGATAAATATCTAAAAAGGAATCGACGCGTGTTCGATTGATAATGATCGTGTCGTGAAATAAATAATCATCTTTTTCGATTCGTACGAGACTCCATGGACGACACGCGTGTGCAATGAGAATATAGGAGGAGAGGATGGTGAGGGGTGTATTTGGATAGGTAGATAGACAGGGTGATATAGGAAAGAGGGTTGGCCCTGTGGGAACGTCAAAGAGTAGTAAAACGAGAACGTCCGACTGCCATTGACGTTCCTATCGTAGCCATAATTCTTGTCACGTGTCACGAACAACAGTGATGAACGTGAGGTAGACACAGTGCCCTAACACATTTGGTACGGCGAAAGGAAAGGTTCGTGGGAGAGGGAGTGGGGGAGGGCGAGTGAAGGGTGGTTTTGAAAGGGTCTTCTGCGTTCTCCGATCTATAATAAATCGGCTTTGAGGGGGAGACAGATGTATCGATTTTTCCTATGGAAATTTTGCCAAATGTTATTTAGAAAGAGAGAGAGAGGGAGAGAGAGAGAGAGAGAGGAAGAGAGAGGAGAGATATGATGGGGAGGAAGAGAGTGTGGGGAGGGAAGTTTGATGAGATCTTATAGTAAGTCTCTTTTTGTGGTTGGAACGAGCTAATCTACGTTGCAGCATGAGTCATTGTAGGAAACTTTGCTTTCTTTCTCTCTTTGTCTTTCCCTCCCCCCCCTCTCTCTCTCTTTCCGTCGTTCTTACCGTGATATTATATTTTTTTCTGTCTTTTTTTTTTTCTTTTTTCCTTTTTTTTTATCCCCTTCGTTTCCTCTTTCATCTTATTACTTCTTTGTTCGCTCGTATTTTTCTTTCCTCGATGCTAAGATTCTTTCCTTTTTCTTCTCTCTTTTTTTTTTTTTTTTTATTACTCCCCTCTTTTTTTTTCTCCTTTTTTGTACTTCTCTTTTAATCTTTTTTTTTTTTTTGTTCAAATATTCGAATTTTTTCTTATCGCTTTAATTTGATAATATATTACATAAATGTTTGTTGGATTCTTTTTTTTTTTTTTTTTATTTATTTATTTATTTTTTTATTTTTTTATTTTTTTTTTCCTTATCTATTAGAGCGACGAAGTATTGTGCTATCCGGAAAATTCATACCGATTTGTGGTAGGTAACGTAATGACAAAATTGGCACGAATTTTTCGGACAACCTAATATAAATATTTATTTGATTTGTGTTTTCTTCTTTTTTTCTTTTTGTTTCGTTTTGATTTTTGTTTTTTATTTTTCTCCTTCTCTCTATTTTAAACCCATGAAATGTAAATTTTTATTCGGTCTTTTTTTTTTTTTTTTTCAACGTGTGTAGTTCGACGAAATTGCAGATACAAAATAATTATAATATAAGAATATTTTATATATATATATATATATATATGTATAAAAAAAATTAATCTAATATACCAAAGTATCTCCTTCTTCGATATTTATTTTCTTTCTTTTTCTTTCTTTCTTTCTTTTTTTTTCTCCTTTTGGTTTCTTTTTTATCGCAGAGATTTGTTGTATGTGCATTTAACAGACGAGTTAAGTT